ATTATCCCCCGTGTAACCTCATTTATACCATTTTTCAGTTCGTACTTATACCCACTAGAAAAATTCAAGCTCAGTTGAATTTTATGATAGTCTAATTTTTTTATTTATCAAATGCGAAGCACTATAAATTATATAAGTAATACAAACAAATATTAAAAATACAATTGTTTGAAATAATGAGTATTTAATAGCAATAGTTATTTCTGAATATTAATAGTAATATTATGACATTTAATAAATTTAAATTTATGTCCTTCAATTTCATCATAATTGTTTGATCTTTTAAATGGTAATGTAATATTGGAAATATCATTGAATGCATGATCTGAACCAATACTTTTATCTGGACAATCAGAAACATCACTAGAAATACTAGAATCATTAACACTAGTATCACTGGAAATTGCATCTTGATCATTATTCATCGAATCATCATTTATAACATCTGTTGATTTTGAATCATTATCTGAAATATCTGGAAGAGTAAGTTTAGCCACAGTAATTCTTTGATTTTCATTTTGTGATCTATAACAATTAAGTCCAGTAATAGAGCAATGTAAAGTTATGTTCATTATAGCTTGTGGATCCAATCCATTATCATTTAACTTTTGTGCAATTGTTTTTCTTATTGAATGATTGATGATGTTATGATTGACACAATCAATCCCAGTAATAGTACATATTTCCTGTAACATTCTAGATAGTTTGTCATGACCAACATGCTTTCTAGTAAACCATTTGCCAGTATTTAAATCTTCAGGATTTTTACTAAATTGTAAAAAAAAGTTAGGTTCAGCATCAGAAGGATGCATATCAATATATTTTTGAATATCTGCACAAGCTCCAATAGTTCCTTTTTCATCTGGTGGAATAATATGGCTAAGTGGTTGTTTATAACCAGAATGTGAACAATGGTATAAACCCCCTTGGTGTGTTTTATCATGAATAATTACAAGATCAAACCCACCATCATCATGCTTTTTGAAATGATCATACATAATTTCCTGATAAGTGCCTCCATGCCTGGCAGAGCAACAACCTATCCATAAAAAGATTCTTCTAAATAAGCCTTCTGGAATGTCACAAGATAAAGCTGGGTGATTGAAAATATGAGACATCTCTTCTTCAGAAAGAGGGTCTGCAGATTTAGATTTACCATTGTTCATTTCTTCTAGCTCTATCATTCGTGCATGTAAGATATCTCTAAATGTGGAAAACTCAAAGTCTTGAAGAATATTGAAGGGTGCTTGATGCTTGAAAAATTCTTGAAATTGTCTATTAATTGCACATATACCATTATATAAAGAGTCTGACTTAAAATCACCATCGTCTCTTTTTTTTACAGTTACTACAAATTCAGATAATAATATAGAAATAACACTTTTATCATAAAGGTTAGATAAGTTGATAGATGGTTGTGTATCTGAAACATATTCCTTAAAACGATTAAACCATGTTTTGGTATTTTTTTGTGTGTTTTTGGGTTTTGATTGAGCTTTGTATTTATTTAAAATTTCAATTGAAGGTTGCATATATTTATGTTTCTCTACATTATTAGATGTTTTTGAATTTATTTGCCCTTCTTCCAATTGTTTGTAAGTTTTTAGTATGTCTTTGGTTGCAATATTGTCATCAAATC